TGCTCATCAGCTTCAGTGATCACCATAAAATCAGGATAATTTTCTCCTCTTTCAGGTATTCTTTGCTGAGGAGGAGTCAATGCAAAACTAATTTCAATATAAATATATATGGTCAAGAGTAAAAGTTGGGATTCAATCTAACAGACACACTGTTGACTGTTCAAAGACATTCTGACTTTAACAAAGACCAGATCAGTTTATATAGTTGTTTTGCAGTTTCTGCTTTATTTCTCAGCTGACAGACATTCAGTTGACTGATATAAAGAAATGTGATTACACTAATGATTTGCTAACATTTCAGTAGGTAGTGAGGGTCAAACACTGACCTGTACATACTCAGGCTTTAGCAGAAAGTATGTGTATCAGCACAGGAAGAGCTTGATGAATGATGATTCTGCTGTTTATTTTTATGCTCAAAAGCCACAGTGCACAAAAACTCAGCACATCAAATCAACAAGTTAAACTGAGTTTTCATATTTAAATAAATGATTATCAAGTGATAATCAAGTGACCAATCGAATCAAAAAATAATAATAAACGAGTTTAAAAGTTCAGTTTTAATTCCTGTTGATTTACTCATCATAACCCTTAATGAGTTATCAAGTATGATTTGGTAACCAAAGAGTAAATGAATACAAAGAAAGTTTGGATTTACAAGATTTGTCTGATCAGAATGCAATTAATGTAACAATAGTTAAGTCAATAAATTCTAGTATACTGAAATTGGCTGCAGTGTGATTCTCTTTGAGAGGGAGGAGCTGATGCAAAACTATGTTTTTGTTCTTTTTAAATGTTAAAGACTTTAAGACAGAGAGTAAAACATTGTACCCACTGCAGACTGAACAGAGATACAGCAAATAGTTTTCATCATGTTCAGACTTCATATTTGGTTCACTTTTCTCATTCTTTTAATCAATTGGTCAGATAAGGATGATAGATTTACTTTCACTGGTGAAAGGACAAATAAAATATCTGCATCATTGTATCTAATGGGCTGCTTATTTGAAGGTACTGAGGATTGTACTTTTTTGTGGAGGTTTAGATGTCTGATAAAAGGGTTTACTCATTTAGTGCTGGTTTTTAAGCAACAGCTGTTGTTTGTGAAGCTTTTTCAGAGATGCAATCAACATGATCTGCTAAAGTAACAAGTCATATTGTTCCCACAGTAATATTAATATCATAGAACATGTGTTTAATAAGTATTACATATAGAGAGTTTTACTAATCTATCAGAAATTCATACGGTTTGAGAAAACATTATTATATATTATGTAATAAGCAATAAGCATAATTTGTGCATTTTCCTGATAAGATTTACCTGATAAGTGGTGTGCAGACATTTGTGTGACATGACATGTGTTCCTCTTTGTGGAGAAGAAACTGATGCAAATTCATAAGTGTTGCCAAATATAACACAAGGACTACATGGATGATTTTCATGACTGTAGACTGAGCAGAGGGACGTGACTTTTACAATGAGCTGTTCTGGCTTTATGTTTGTTTTTCTTATAGTGTTAGTTTACTGGGCTGGTAAGGACAGCACATTTCTTCTGCAAACATTATGATATGTTTGAAATAAAGAAATTAATCATGTTTTTGTCTGTAGGCACTGATGGTCAAACACTGACTGAGTCTGAATCAGTGATTAAAAGGCCTGGAGAATCACACAGACTGACCTGTACATACTCAGGGTTCGGTGATGATATTCATGCTGCTTGGATCAGACAGGCTGCTGGAACTGGAGTGGATGGCTTATATTGAGGATGATAGTAGCTATATCTACTACTACTTCATCTGGGGTGACAGTAGTGGCATCTACTACTCTCAGTCATTCAGAGGCAGATTTACCATCTCCAGAGACAACAGGAGAAAGCAGGTGTATCTGCAGATGAACAGCTTGATAACTGAGGATTCTGCTGTTTATTATTGTGCTTGAGAGCCACAGTGACACAAGAGGATGAAACTCTGTACAAAAACTCAATTCATCAAAAAAATAAATAAATAAAATAAAATAAAACAAAAATGCAAAATTTGCTTTCTGCAATTCAAGTCTACTTTTTTTTTTATTCCTGTAGTTTAATTTGTTTTGCTGAAAAAATAAGAGCATTCACCTTTACAAAATAATACACATCAACATATTGACAGAAACATTGTGCTCATCTCTGTGTAAGTGTAATTGTTTTCTTTTGCTTTATCTAAATGTTTTGAATTTCTTCAGTGATATAAAAAAGGTCAAACATGTTTGAGCTAGTGTTGCGAATTACATTATTTTGTGTATGCACCAAATAATTTTTGCACCTTGACAGCAATCTCTAACTATTAGTGACAGGAGAATTCATATCACTATAATAATTTGTCATTGCCAGTCTGTTTCCAAAGGAAACCTCCTCACAGACTCTTATAAAGAGTGATGTTAGTGCTGTGAACAGAAGAAGCTCCCATCAGTTGTAGCTCTGCTGATGCTGTTTGTTGCTGAGTCCTGGGAGTCTGACTGAGGCAGTGACACTGCTATTACATTTCTCCAAAACAAGTGCTGTAAATACGAAATGATTTTACATATGATAAAGAAAAAATCCAAAGGTGCTTAGAATAAGCATGTACTTCATAATTAAGAAATCTGGTAAATATGCTTTGCATTTTAATCAATGGGATTGATACAAAGTGATGCACTTGCAGACGGATATGTCAGCAGCATGCACAGACTAATACCAGAGCACTGTGCTGTGTGTTACTTTGCCAGATACACAACGACCGGCATAAATATGCACATACAAATGCACGGTAAAAGGTGAGTAGCTGACTTTGCAGTGTTTGATTTTCTGATTAAAATTTTTGTCAAACATGTTAGAAAATATTTTTACATTTCCACAAGAAATCTAAAAGTTTAAAATACTAAAATTGAACATGAATGAATCATATCATCATATCTTTTTCTTACTACTCAATGCCACAGTGCAATCTGTTTCCTCTTATAATCTGTCAGCATCCATCTGTATGCAAATCAAACTTTCCCACAGGCTGATATAAAGTCTGATATCATGCAGTCAGTCACAGAAGAAGATGAGAAGCTCCCATCAGATCATACTGAGCACCAACATGTTCTCTCTAGCTCTGCTGCTGCTGGCTGCTGGATCCTGTGAGTCTCACTGAACACAAACACTATGATCACAGCACACTGATTCTTACTTTTACTACATAAAACATGTTTTCTCCACAGGTGTGAAGTGTGAGCAGCTGACACAGCCAGCCTCTGTTATTGTGCAGCCAGGTCAGCGTCTGACCATCACCTGTCAGGTCTCTTATTCTCTTGGCTACTACACAGCTTGGATCCGACAGCATGCAGGGAAAGGACTGGAGTGGATTGGGATGAAACATACTTCAACTTCATACTACAAAGATTCACTAAAGAACAAATTCAGCATTGACATAGACACTTCAAGCAACACAGTAACTTTAAATGGACAGAATATACAGCCTGAAGACACTGCTGTGTATTACTGTGCCAGAGAGTCACAGTAACACAAAACATCAGCAGACCTGAACAAAAACCCCTCAGTGCAGAACATATTTGTAACATGAAGCCAACAGAGGAGGAGCTCTAAGACCAATAATAAATTTAAAGTGTGTTAAGGAAAAAAGGGAAATTGTTTTAAGGGGTCCCTATTCTTGATAGAGGGAGTGTTAGACAGAAATATTACTTGCAGCAGTTCAGCACCAGTTTACCATCTCCAGAGAAAGAAGGAGAAAGCAACTGAATCTGCAGACGACATCATAGGATTCTGCTGTTTATTCTTTTCCTCAAGAGTCATAGTAAGACCGTGAAATCTAAATCATAAACATCATAATGCCAAGATCAAATAGTCTAATTATGTATTCTTGTTTTTGCTTGTCTGTGGGCAAACACCCTGTTGTTCCGTATTCTGTCAGTGGTGTTTGGTTACTTTTTTATATAATTGTTTTTTCTATGGAATACCCTTTTTGATACGTCCATCATTCACCATGTTGAGGATTAGTGTTACTGGAGTTTAGTTTTTTGTTATGGAGTTTTGGATGCCTCATAAAATGTTTACTGCTGTAGTTCCTGTTTTTAAGCAACAGCGGATGTTGTAGTGAATCCACTTCCATCAACATGAGCTTTAACAGTATAGAGACATAATGTTCCTATTGTTAATTGCTGTATTACTTTATGCAGCACACATTTAATAATGAATATATATGGAGGTTTTTTTTTTTACTGATGTATCAGAAATAAATAGGTGTATAGATTTTGAGAGAAAAATGTTCTTCATTAAGTAACAAAAATAATAATCATTTGTAAATAAATATAATATTTGCTTAAATATTTTATTATAAGTGGTGTGCAGTTGTTTGTATGACATGAAGTGTATTTTTCTTTAAGGAGGAGTTTATGCAAATTCAGATCTTTACACATGTGTTGCCAAATATAACAAAGGGACTGCAAGACTGGTTTTCATGACTGTAGACTGAGTAGAGAGACATGACTTTTACAATGAACTGTCCTGGGTTTACCTGTTTTTTTCTTATAGTGTCAGTTTACTGGGCTGGTAAGGACAGCACATTTCTCCGCAAACATTAAGATATGTTTGATATAAAGAAGCTAATTTTGTTTTTGTCTGTAGGTACTGAGGGTCAAACACTGACTCAGTCTGAACCAGTGATTAAAAGGCCTGGAGAATC